GCAACATTTGTCTTGAGAAATGATGGAAAAATCATGGAGTTTGCATCTCAGATTTGCCTTGTATCTGTCAGTATGAATGAGCTATGAAGTTTGTTGTTTTCTACAAAGTAGTAAACATAAAAACCTGCACCACTTTCAGCTTTCCTCAAGTCACCTTTGGGAATTTCCTGCCACGTCAACCCAGTGATGATTCAGGGTTAGAAATGTATAGCGCAGGAAGTTCAGTAAATTTGTTTTGAACATTAGTTGCAGGTTACCAAATGCAGTTGTATATGGAGAATATGAGAGATTTCTATTGCATGTCAAGTATGTAAAATGCATTAAATATTGGTTACTCTCGATATCAATACCACCCAGATGATACCCTGTTCAGTGTTATTTAAATTTAAGACACACATGTGAACACAGATATCCAAACTGGGGTACTCATGTTGGATATTTAGTGCTTAGATTGGCTTTGGTACAGCCAGTATTTCACAAGTAGGTGATCATATTTAAATTATAAACCTCTCTACACAATGAGGGAAACTATCCGGGATTTGGCATTTTTCTATTGTTAGTAAACAATCTCTTGTATGTTACACTTCATTTAAGTCACTGCTTATTTATATTATATTTAATATTTATTAAATACTGATAACATGTACAGAAAATCCTTTTAAAACTTGGCAGTGGATATAATCTTTTGGAATTCAGAATGTTCATAGAGGTGTAAAGATTATGATGAGAATGCCCTCTGTAGTTCATGTAATAGTGTTGAAGGTGAACACCATGTTGTAAACATCTGACCGTTGGTTACTCAGTTTAGAAATATTGTATTTGTAGAACATAACAATAATGTAATTGATTTATGATGCTATGTACATCTGATCAGAACAAGACAGTTCACAATTACCATTGAGGTGTTCGTAAGATATATCGTTGTTCACTGGTTCCTCGGGGCCCATGGGTTGATATACCCTCAATGTTTCTTTATGTACTGGTTCCTTCGGGCTCAGGGAACATAAACAAACATCGAGGGTACATCAACCCATGTCCCCCTCGAGACCAGTGAACAACTTATATTATTATGCAAGCATAGTTTTCGGGCTACCTGATTGGTAGAGAGGCGGTCACGTGACCGTCGACAGAAAAGCATATAGACTCCAACCCAGGTCCGACCAAAAGTCATATTGACCTGAGTTACTATGACGTCAAGCTATGACGTCATTCACGTCAAGCTATGACGCCATTCTATTGTTTACATGTCACAGCATTGTTGACATAACGTTATTGGTTTCTAGTGAAAATAACATTACTTTTCCTGACTAAATGGACATGTTTGGGATTTTAGAAGCTTTTTTTCGGTAATTACATAATAAAACAATTATAGACTGGCGAATTCGGTCTATACCGACGAAGTCCAAGGTCAATATTGCTTTTCGCGGGTCCATAAAAACAGGTATTGACTGCATCACCAGTCTATAATTGTATATTATCTGAAATTGTCTAGAGGAAAATTGTAGCATCCCTTATTTGTTATTATCGTGTTTAATTTAACATACAGACCTTGAAACTCAATTAACATCTCTCTCTCTCTCTCCCTCTCCCGGCATATATGTCCCAACACCCTATACTGTCGTACTCTCTCTCTCTCTCCCTCTCCCGGCATATATGTCCCAACACCCTGTACTGTCGTACTCTCTCTCTCTCTCCCTCTCCCGGCATATATGTCCCAACACCCTGTACTGTCGTACTCTCTCTCTCTCTCCCTCTCCCGGCATATATGTCCCAACACCCTATACTGTCAGCCTTATACTCTCTCTCTCTCTCTCCCTCTCCGGCATATATGTCCCAACACCCTGTACTGTCGTGACTCTCTCTCTCTCTCTCTCCCGGCATATATGTCCCAACACCCTATACTGTCGTACAAAGACATAATGCATCAGGTGGGGGGGGGTAGCCTAGTGGTTAAAGCATTTGTTCATCAAGCTGAAGACCTGGGTTTGAATCCCCAAATGGTTACAATGTGAGAGGCATAAATCCGGTTCCCCCGCAGTGATATTGCTGGAATATTGCTGGAATATTGCTAAAAGCAGCGTAGAACCATATTCACTCATTCATAATGGATCAGGTGGTCCAGCTTGGTTGATTCCATGTGGTTAACCTCAGGGCTAGGGATGTTCTACCTCTGCTTTATCAGATCCAGACTGAACTTTATTCCGTGCGAGGTGAGCTACAGTACATAGAATTACTGGGTTATGTGAATCATATCATGTAGGCTTGTTGTCCTGAATGTAACGACGGAAAGCCACACCTCCAGTCCATGTTGCAGCATCGACCGGAGGGAACCTGATGACATTGATGAAATACGCACTGACACAATCAGGAAGCTCAATTAATTCACAAACTCAAAATTACAGTTGCGGAAGTAGGAAGGTTTCGCTACAATAGAAAATTGTTGTCAGCTGTAGATTTGAGGACAGCTACAGTACAGGCTGACTGAGATGGCTTTGTGAACTTGTGATTATTTCCGCCATGCATTATGGTGTTCGGGCTGGAACACGGATCACACAGCACACGTCACACATCACTGACTGATGGTTTTGATAACCACGGAGAATGGGACCTGTTGTGTCATCTGCACCAGCTTTCCCCTTGTGTATTTGAGCGTTGAAAGTGATTCAGTGATATAAAACACAGCCGCTTTGTCAATATCCCCAGAATGATCTTCCCAGTAGCTTGTGACTGTTGCATCTACAGGTTGTATACAGAGCCAGGCACAAGGTGAGTGTTACAACCCTGTGTAGGTTGTATCTCTAGAATGTTGAATGAATGAATGTGGGATGGATGATGGATGGATGGATTGGTCGATGGATGGATGAAATGGGTGGATATTGATGGATGGATTGATGGATGATCTATATTTCCTTTAGTAACTTCAGAGAGTGACATTCATTTGTTACTCTTTTAGCACAGCATATTTACAGAGGCATCATCAAAAGAAACTGAAGTTTCACAAAACTGTATATTTCCCTGATCCTGGTGAGAAATAAGTCACTGTCTATAGATAAAGCATTGACTGCAGGCTTTGAGTCTAGTGATCCACTTGCTATATATTCAGCCTAACTGTCAAGGCTCATTTTCTACAATAACCTGGGTTATACCACCGCCTGGTAATGTCCCAATTTTGACTTAGTCATCTGCACAGTCTTAAATACACATGTACTGTTCCAGGCTTAATGTGTCACATAGATGCTGGTAAGGAATGTTCCTGGCATCAGCTAAAGCTGTACAATATACCAGTTGGTGTTTTATTGTCATCACTCTCTTCATTACACATACACAGGTCTGACTGGAATATTGGGAAAATAAACATATCCCACAGTCTATGTGATACAAGTTTACTGTGGATTCTATCAAATCTGGGTGATCTTGAAGGCATGTTTGCCAATGAGCAGTTTCATGTTCTGTTATCTTGGCCCGTATAGTTTTGTTCCATGCCACCTTGGATGGATACTGGTTTGTTATTAAAAAGTGATCACTTGAAGTCCATAATTCATATTTCTTGGCTATGTTGAGAAGATCATGTGTTACAGACTCACATTTGTAACTAGCTGTTATGTATAGAGAACACATGAAATGAATACCTGTTAAAGGTATGTCTTTGATTATTTCTGCATAACATTTGCCTTCCAAGGAACCAGCTTCATGTTGTCGATGGCAGTTGTCATAGTCCTCAGGCCTAGAGTTTTAATAGATGCAGCAGTCGGAGATCTCTGATGAACTTTTGCACAGTGCATACAAAGTAAAGCTGGATGTTTTCAATGTTTTTCTTCTGTCCGGGACATATTTGACCACAGATCACTAAATGTAGAGGCTCATGGAATTATCACTCTGTGCCATATGTTTACACAACAGTCTGAGCTTGGACCACCAGCTCTCAACCCAATATCTCTAGGGAAGTACAAGTTCTTTCTGGCTTTAGCACAATTTCCTGTGTTCCTTTTGATTCCAAATGATAACCTGTAAAGGAACCTGCATATATTGTGTTCAACTTCATGGTCAGTGTGTTATAACCCAAGCTAAAGAGTGTGCTTTCCACCCTTAAAGACTAAGACACATTGTATGTCTGTCTCCATTGGCAACCATATTGATGGACAGTTTCTTGGACATACCGGTATATAGGCTGATTATCAGTTTGCTGCATTAAGTACATTAATTAGTGAAGGGATTCATGTATGTTTTCATGCTCACATGTTTATTTTCGTGGTCACTTTGTCATAAAGAGTTGACTGAGAGTTGCAAGCACTGTTGGGATTTGAGTAGGTAGGACACCTTATACCTGATTCATGTGTGGCTGCTCGGGTCACCATGACGATCACATCGGGTTTGGCCGCAACCACCTTTACTCATGGTGTGGATGTGGTGTGTGGTGTGTGTAGGTGGTATAGTATCTATGATATACAATATGTAGTTTCATTAATTGGTCTAATTGGTGTGTACCACTGCTGTGGCCTTTGACCTTTTCATATGACCATAAATTGAGTTCAGCTACCAAGCTTTGTTAGTCTATGTTAACAAACATTGAGCAAGTTTATCAGTTGGTGTATCTTAAAGATGGAAACAATGTCATTTTAAAAACAGTGTTGAGTCCTCAGATCTCTGTGAGTGGATATTGTGAGAACGGCTTGACATGCATGACCGAGATAAGATGTTGATGTTTCCATGGTGTAGAGCCCAAGCTTTAAACATCAAGTGCAGGTTGTGTTGTTGGTGCTGTGTTGACCACAGGCATGTTACAATGAGTGCCTGCTTCAGCTGGGCGTACACACAGCAGGCTGATGGGTTCCAGGATGTAGATGTGGACTGACGATTGCCAGGTAGGAGGATGTAGATGTGGACTGAAGATGCGCCAGGTAGGAGGATGTAGATGTGGACTGAAGATTGACAGGTAGCAGGATGTAGATGTGGACTGACGATTGCCAGGTAGCAGGATGTAGATGTGGACTGATGATTGCCAGGTAGCAGGATGTAGATGTGGACTGAAGATTGCCAGGTAGCAGGATGTAGATGTGGACTGAAGATTGACAGGTAGCAGGATGTAGATGTGGACTGAAGATTGCCAGGTAGGAGGATGTAGATGTGGACTGAAGATTGCCAGGTAGCAGGATGTAGATGTGGACTGAAGATTGACAGGTAGCAGGATGTAGATGTGGACTGAAGATTGCCAGGTAGGAGGATGTAGATGTGGACTGAAGATTGCCAGGTAGCAGGATGTAGATGTGGACTGGACGATTGCCAGGTAGGAGGATGTAGATGTGGACTGAAGATTGACAGGTAGGAGGATGTAGATGTGGACTGAAGATGCGACAGGTAGCAGGATGTAGATGTGGACTGAAAGATTGCCAGGTAGCAGGATGTAGATGTGGACTGGCGATGCCAGGTAGGAGGATGTAGATGTGGACTGAAGATTGACAGGTAGGAGGATGTAGATGTGGACTGAAGATCGCCAGGTAGGAGGATGTAGATGTGGACTGAAGATTGACAGGTAGGAGGATGTAGATGTGGACTGAAGATTGCCAGGTAGCAGGATGTAGATGTGGACTGAAGATTGCCAGGTAGCAGGATGTAGATGTGGACTGAAGATTGCCAGGTAGGAGGAGGATGTAGATGTGGACTGAAGATTGACAGCAGGATGTAGATGTGGACTGACTTGATTGACAGGTAGGAGGATGTAGATGTGGACTGAAGATCGCCAGGTAGCAGGATGTAGATGTGGACTGAAGATTGCCAGGTAGCAGGATGTAGATGTGGACTGAAGATTGCCAGGTAGCAGGATGTAGATGTGGACTGAAGATCGCCAGGTAGGAGGATGTAGATGTGGACTGAAGATTGCCAGGTAGCAGGATGTAGATGTGGACTGACGATTGCCAGGTAGGAGGATGTAGATGTGGACTGAAGATTGACAGGTAGCAGGATGTAGATGTGGACTGAAGATTGACAGGTAGCAGGATGTAGATGTGGACTGAAGATTGCCAGGTAGCAGGATGTAGATGTGGACTGACGATTGCCAGGTAGCAGGATGTAGATGTGGACTGAAGATTGCCAGGTAGGAGGATGTAGATGTGGACTGAAGATTGCCACAGGATGTAGATGTGGACTGAAGATGACATGCCCTTAGGTAGCAGGATGTAGATGTGGACTGACAGTGATTGATTGCCAGGTAGCAGGATGTAGATGTGGACTGAAGATACCAGGGTAGTAGGATGGATGTAGATGTGGACTGGACTGAAAGATTGCAGGTAGCAGGATGTAGATGTGGACTGAAGATTGCCAGGTAGCAGGATGTAGATGTGGACTGGAAGATCGCCAGGTAGCAGGATGTAGATGTGGACTGACAAAGATTGCCAGGTAGCAGGATGTAGATGTGGACTGAAGATAGATGCCAGGGACTAGAGGATGTAGATGTGGACTGAAGATTGCCAGGTAGGAGAGGATGTAGATGTGGACTGAAGATTGCCAGGTAGCAGGATGTAGATGTGGACTGACGATTGCCAGGTAGCAGGATGTAGATGTGGACTGAAGATTGCCAGGTAGCAGGATGTAGATGTGGACTGAAGATTGCCAGAGTAGGAGGATGTAGATGTGGACTGAAAGATTGACAGAGTAGCAGGATGTAGATGTGGACTGACGATTGCCAGGTAGCAGGATGTAGATGTGGACTGAAGATTGCCAGGTAGCAGGATGTAGATGTGGACTGAAGATGGCCAGGTAGGAGGATGTAGATGTGGACTGAAGATTGACAGGTAGGAGGATGTAGATGTGGACTGAGAAGGATATGCCATGGAGGGATGTAGATGTGGACTGACTGAAGATTGCCAGGTAGCAGGATGTAGATGTGACTGAAGATTGTGGACTGAAGATACAGGTAGCAGGATGTAGATGTGGACTGAAGATTGACAGGTAGGAGGATGTAGATGGGACTGAAGATTGTGGATGTAGATGGACTGGAAAGATTGACAGGAGTAGGAGGATGTAGATGTGGACTGAAGATTGCCAGGTAGGAGGATGTAGATGTGGACTGAAGATTGGATAGGTAGGAGGATGTAGATGTGGACTGAAGATTGCCAGGTAGCAGGATGTAGATGTGGACTGAAGATTGCCAGGTAGGAGGATGTAGATGTGGACTGAAGATGTGGACTGATAGGATGGAAGATTGATTTGCCAGGTAGGATGTGGACTGAAATTGTAGGAGGATGTACTAAAAGAAAGATGTGGACTGATGTGGACTGAAGATTGACAGGTAGCAGGATGTAGATGTGGACTGACGGTGACAGGGTAGGAGGATGTAGATGTGGACTGAAGATTGCCAGGTAGCAGGATGTAGATGTGGACTGAAGGTATGTAGATGTGGACTGAAAGAAAGGTGCAGGTAGGAGGATGTAGATGTGGACTGAAAGATTGACAGGTAGGAGGATGTAGATGTGGACTGGCCGATTGCCAGGTAGGAGGATGTAGATGTGGACTGAAGATTGCCAGGTAGCAGGATGTATAGATGTGGACTGAAAAGATTGCCAGGTAGGAGGATGTAGATGTGGACTGACGATTGCCAGGTAGGAGGATGTAGATGTGGACTGAAGATTGCCAGGTAGGAGGATGTAGATGTGGACTGAAGATCGCCAGGTAGCAGGATGTAGATGTGGACTGAAGATTGCCAGTCATACTGAGTCCTGATGAGTAGGGACAAGACATTCTGTCTGGAGATTTCAACATACACAATCTGGACAGGTGTAGTGAAATACAGGATATTTTCAGGAGGATTCCACCTTGAAGAAAAAATGGTGTGAGAAACCTTATGTACTACTGACTCTTTTCTTAAAGCAATATGAATAATATAATCAGGTTTTGATTGATTTTGTAGAAATTCATGGGGTTACTGTAGGACTTTTTGAGATAGTAGAACTGAAAGCACTATTGTCATGACATCAGATTGTGAAGTGATCCAGTTTGTACCGTCTTTGGAAACTGCCAGAAAGTTTGAGGAAATGGAGTGATATGAAATAGATCATCAACCAACCTTGTGTGTTTGCAAATTCAAATGTATTATGTGTAACACTATGGCAGTTAATGATTTTTATACTCTCTGGAAACATTATATCTCACTTTTACAAAAGTCATTTGATACATCCTGGAACAAGGCCAGGGAAGGAATAATAGGATTGTGGAGCGTTGGTAAGCAAAGTTGAGGGGATCCTCTTTGTGACAGAGAATGGCTTTGCAGTAGTATTCAGGATATGCTGATCTTTTGCAATAGCGTGTCCCCTACTGTTTTGTCTAAATAAGGTACTGTCACACATCCTCATGTGCTCAAGTTCATGAATATCAGCATAAACAGTTAACAGTTCTGGCAAGTGGTACTTTTCACTTCCTACCCAAGGCACAAAAGCTGCAGCCAAGGGAACAGTGTACATGAAGCTCTAGTCAGACACTGTTGTGTGTAAAATGCCTTCAGTCCAGTTTCCCCAGATTAGGATTCTCTGGCGGTTTGACACAGCAGATGAAGGACTAATTTTTGTTTCCAGACATCATGAGGAAACCATCTTGGAACCCGAACATCTCGCCACCCCAGACTCCCCGCGTGATGTTGCTGTGACCTTTCACCCTCTGTTGCCAGGGCAGACTATGTGTCTGTGTGTCTGGTGGAGGAGGTGAGGACTAAGCGGTGCTTCATGGAGGCACGTGTGAACAAGCCAGAGGTGAGTCAGGATCATCTTCACACCATGGACATAGTGAAGGAAGCAGCAGCACTTTGTTGTAGCTTGGTGTGTTGATGGGTATCAGAGTGAGATTACTTCGTGTATATGTGTGTGTGTGATGGGTATCAGAGTGAGATTACTGACTTGTATATGTCTGTGTGTTGATGGGTATCAGAGTGAGATTACTGACTTGTATATGTCTGTGTGTTGATGGGTATCCGAGTGAGATTACTGACTTGTATATGTCTGTGTGTTGATGGGTATCCGAGTGAGATTACTGACTTGTATATGTCTGTGTGTTGATGGGTATCAGAGTGAGATTACTGACTTATATATGTCTCTGTGTTGATGGGTATCAGAGTGAGATTAAGTTACTTACGTGTATATGTCTTTGTGTTGATGGGTATCAGGAGTGAGATTACTGACTTGTATATGTCTGTGTGTTGATGGGTATCCGAGTGAGATTACTTTTTACGTGTATATGTCTGTGTGTTGATGGGTATCAGAGTGAGATTACTGACTTGTATATGTCTGTGTGTTGATGGGTATCAGAGTGAGATTACTTACGTGTATATGTCTCTGTGTTGATGGGTATCAGAGTGAGATTACTGACTTGTATATGTCTGTGTGTTGATGGGTATCAGAGTGAGATTACTGACTTGTATATGTCTGTGTGTTGATGGGTATCAGAGTGAGATTACTGACTTGTATATGTCTGTGTGTTGATGGGTATCAGAGTGAGATTACTGACTTGTATATGTCTATGTGTTGATGGGTATCTGGAGTGAGATTACTGACTTGTATATGTCTGTGTGTTGATGGGTATCAGAGTGAGATTACTGACTTGTATATGTCTGTGTGTTGATGGGTATCAGAGTGAGATTACTTATGTGTATATGTCTATGTGTTGATGGGTATCAGAGTGAGATTACTGACTTGTATATGTCTCTGTGTTGATGGGTATCAGAGTGAGATTACTTACGTGTATATGTCTCTGTGTTGATGGGTATCAGAGTGAGATTACTGACTTGTATATGTCTGTGTGTTGATGGGTATCAGAGTGAGATTACTGACTTGTATATGTCTGTGTGTTGATGGGTATCAGAGTGAGATTACTGACTTGTATATGTCTGTGTGTTGATGGGTATCAGAGTGAGATTACTTATGTGTATATGTCTATGTGTTGATGGGTATCAGAGTGAGATTACTGGCTTGTATATGTCTGTGTGTTGATGGGTATCAGAGTGAGATTACTGACTTGTATATGTCTGTGTGTTGATGGGTATCAGAGTGAGATTACTGACTTGTATATGTCTGTGTGTTGATGGGTATCAGAGTGAGATTACTTACGTGTATATGTCTGTGTGTTGATGGGTATCAGGTGAGATTACTGACTTGTATATGTCTGTGTGTTGATGGGTATCAGAGTGAGATTACTGACTTGTATATGTCTGTGTGTTGATGGGTATCAGAGTGAGATTACTTATGTGTATATGTCTATGTGTTGATGGGTATCAGAGTGAGATTACTGACTTGTATATGTCTGTGTGTGTGATGGGTATCAGAGTGAGATTACTGACTTGTATATGTCTGTGTGTTGATGGGTATCAGAGTGAGATTACTGACTTGTATATGTCTGTGTGTTGATGGGTATCAGAGTGAGATTACTTACGTGTATATGTCTGTGTGTTGATGGGTATCAAAGAGTGAGATTACTGACTTGTATATGTCTGTGTGTTGATGGGTATCCCGAGTGAGATTACTGACTTGTATATGTCTGTGTGTTGATGGGTATCCGAGTGAGATTACTGACTTGTATATGTCTGTGTGTTGATGGGTATCAGAGTGAGATTACTGACTTGTATATGTCTGTGTGTTGATGGGTATCAGAGTGGATTACTGACTTGTATATGTCTGTGTGTTGATGGGTATCAGAGTGAGATTACTGAATTGTATATGTCTGTGTGTTGATGGGTATCAGAGTGAGATTACTGACTTGTATATGTCTCTGTGTTGATGGGTATCAGAGTGAGATTACTTACGTGTATATATCTGTGTGTTGATGGGTATCAGAGTGAGATTACTGACTTGTGTATGTCTGTGTGTTGATGGGTATCAGAGTGAGATTACTTACGTGTATATCTCTGTGTGTTGATGGGTATCAGAGTGAGATTACTGACTTGTATATGTCTCTGTGTTGATGGGTATCAGAGTGAGATTACTTACGTGTATATATCTGTGTGTTGATGGGTATCAGAGTGAGATTACTGACTTGTGTATGTCTGTGTGTTGATGGGTATCAGAGTGAGATTACTTACGCGGTATATCTCTGTGTGTTGATGGGTATCCGAGTGAGATTACTGACTTGTATATGTCTGTGTGTTGATGGGTATCCGAGTGAGATTACTTACGTGTATATGTCTGTGTGTTGATGGGTATCAGAGTGAGATTACTGACTTGTATATGTCTCTGCGTTGATGGGTATCAGAGTGAGATTACTGACTTGTATATGTCTGTGTGTTGATGGGTATCAGAGTGAGATTACTGACTTGTATATGTCTGTGTGTTGATGGGTATCAGAGTGAAATTACTTACGTGTATATGTTTGTGTGTTGATGGGTATCAGAGTGAGATTACTTACGTATATATGTCTCTGTGTTGATGGGTATCAGAGTGAGATTACTGACTTGTATATGTCTGTGTGTTGATGGGTATCAGAGTGGAGATTACTTACGTGTATATGTCTGTGTGTTGATGGGTATCAGAGTGAGATTACTTACTTGTATATGTCTTTGTGTTGATGGGTATCAGAGTGAGATTACTGACTTGTATATGTCTGTGTGTTGATGGGTATCAGAGTGAGATTACTGACTTGTATATGTCTGTGTGTTGATGGGTATCAGAGTGAGATTACTTACTTGTATATGTCTGTGTGTTGATGGGTATCAGAGTGAGGATTACTGACTTGTATATGTCTGTGTGTTGATGGGTATCAGAGTGAGATTACTGGACTTGTATATGTCTGTGTGTTGATGGGTATCAGAGTGAGATTACTGACTTGTATATGTCTGTGTGTTGATGGGTATCAGAGTGAGATTACTGACTTAGTATATGTCTGTGTGTTGATGGGTATCAGAGTGGAGATTACTGGACTTGTATATGTCTGTGTGTTGATGGGTATCAGAGTGAGATTACTGACTTGTATATGTCTGTGTGTTGATGGGTATCAGAGTGAGATTACTGACTTGTGTATATGTCTGTGTGTTGATGGGTATCAGAGTGAGATTACTGACTTGTATATGTCTGTGTGTTGATGGGTATCCGAGTGAGATTACTGACTTGTATATGTCTGTGTGTTGATGGGTATCCAGTGAGGTTACTGACTTGTATATGTCTGTGTGTTGATGGGTATCAGATGTGAGATTACTGACTTGTATATGTCTGTGTGTTGATGGGTATCAGAGTGAGATTACTGACTTGTATATGTCTGTGTGTTGATGGGTATCAGAGTGAGATTACTTATGTGTATATGTCTGTGTGTTGATGGGTATCAGAGTGAGATTACTGACTTGTATATGTCTGTGTGTTGATGGGTATCCGAGTGAGATTACTGACTTGTATATGTCTGTGTGTTGATGGGTATCAGAGTGAGATTACTGACTTGTATATGTCTTTGTGTTGATGGGTATCAGAGTGAGATTACTGACTTGTATATGTCTCTGTGTTGATGGGTATCAGAGTGAGATTACTTACGTGTATATATCTGTGTGTTGATGGGTATCAGAGTGAGATTACTGACTTGTGTATGTCTGTGTGTTGATGGGTATCAGAGTGAGATTACTTACGTGTATATCTCTGTGTGTTGATGGGTATTCGAGTGGAGATTACTGACTTGTATATGT